GTGGTAGAGGGGATATTTTGATTAAAACGAAATGCTATCTACAATTTTTCGAAAGGTTTCGGATTTTTTTTATTGTTTTTTTAATTGAATCTAAAAGTTATCTAACTACATAAATGCTAACACAATCGCTGAACCCATGAAAGAGGTTATTTTCGCGTAACGCATAATTTCTCTAGCCATCATAATATGTATAGACAGAACATATTTAATAATATGTGTATATGGCGTTAACAAAAGCTAATTTCGCTCCCTCGGCTCGCTTATTGTTTTGATCACATTAATTGGTTTTTAGGTTGGTTTTTTAACCAAATAATGCAAATCAGAGTCATGCAGAAAAAGATTGGCCAAATGATAACTATGTCGACATAAACGGTTATGTCAAAAACTATAATGATAAAATATTAAATATTGAAATAAATAAAAAAGGTTTTTTTTTCTATGCAGACTTTATGAATTTTTTGATCTTAGGTTTAATATGGTTTCGACGAATCCTTAGACATCAACAGTTATTAATAAACAAGTTTTAGCGGCAGAGTAAATTTACGCCAATATTTTAATTTTGGAATGAAGGAGTGCATATTACTCCCGTAGAACCTTGTACTAGGTTAACGATTACTAAGTCTCTGTATAATAATATGAATTTTGACTAAGACTAAGTGCAGTCTCAGCATAAATTTACTCCAACGCTAAAACTCCACGCTGGCCCAATGCGGACTGGAGGGTATTAACGACTGTAAACGCAGCCGGGACCAACGGCTTAACGTGCCTTTCGAAGCACGAAGTAGCTCGAGATAATTTTTTTTTGGTCACCCATCCCGTGACCGACCCTTGCGAAAGTTGCTTAACAAGAACGATCGCGGGCCGCGGCGCTTATCCACTACGCCAACGAGGTACTTACTTATAAGTGTTCGCCTTACCCAAAATACAATTTTGTCTGTTTCTAAATATTCAGTTTATTGTTCTATTGGATTAACAAATATCATTCTATTTTTAGACAACGATTAGAGTTGCAATTATATTCACAATAACAACTTAAGTGCACGCATGAATTTGACGAAATATGAGACTGATCAATGTCAAGTTGAGCAAAATGAATTTCTTATGGAAACGAAAAGAAAATTAGTAGGCACGCAAAGCACTGAAGAATTCTCAATAACTGAAAATTCCATCTTATAGCTATTGGGACTTATGATTAAATTTCCATGCTCGCAGATTTCTTCTTATAATTTAGCATTACTATGATCAGTTCTGATTCTTGCCTGTCAGAGAAACAGATAAGCTTGATTTAAACTTCAATAAGTAATGGCAAGTTCACTAGCACGCCCAGTTAAACTCTTATTGGCGTTCAAACGATGAGAACTTAACACGCCAGAGAAGCAAGTTAACTCGTCACTGTACTTATTGAAGTGTTACTTGAGCTATAGAGGGAGACAATGGCGTATTGCTCGGAATAGAACACTACAAAATATTTTTGATTACTCGAACACCATTAGGATAATTGTGAAAGCACCATGTTTTAGCTATAAAGTCAGCTTTTGCAATAAGAAAGGATTTACAAGAGAGTTATCGTTTTTTTTAATTCTTGAAGTACATCAGTGATTTCTTTATAAAAATAAAAAATCTAAATTAAATGTGATTTAATATTATCACCTATAATTTATATTTGTTTTGTTTACATTTGATTGTGAACAAAACAAATATAACAATACAAATAAACAAATAAAAATATAAATTCCTTATGACTGGTTAAGTATACCTTATTCGCATTCCAAACTGTCTGCCGCTAGCCCGAACTCTGGCGAGATTTCTAAGAAATACAATTTTTTCTTATTTTATCTCTTTGTGGCACCAGCTCAGCTGTAATACATATCATCATACTGATTTCGTTAGGCATCCACTTCAGCAGCTAGATTTGATATCTTACGGACGAAAGTGATACTCACAAATAAGTGTGAGAACATATGTGTGTTTTATAAAACATACATCATCATAATCACACATATGTATGTGTGTTATATAACACATACACACACACATAGGGATTAACGACTGCAGATACAGTCAGATAACGGTGACCAACTGGGTGTCTTCCGAAAGCGCGGAGGAACTCGAGATGACTAATTAGTTACATAATTGACCTTACACACATAATTGCTTATCGACCTTATTATAAAATTAGCGCGAGAAAATTTTGATACAAACACAACTCTTTAATTTTTTTCTGCAAAGTAATGTAACAATAGCACGACAAAGTTGCACATCTTTTCCTTATGTGTTTTTCATTTTATTTTGTTTCTATTCGCAGACTGCATGTTTATAAAAGTCTAATGTTATTTATATTCAAACCAGACTGCTATAAAAAGATTTCTTATTTTTGTCGTTGATTGCCAACTTTAACATTTTTGTTATTTTATTACAGAAGTTTATATTCCAAAGCTGTTTAATAAAAAACTAAATATCTTTGATTTTTAATTTACTAACGAACAACATGCAGATCAAAACTCTAGCTGAGGAATTTTAAAATTTCATAAGGATTTTTGTACACACCAATTATTAAATTAAGGTCCGAATCATGAATCGTGTTTAAAATGAAATTGATCTTTCATTCCAATTATTAGTTTTATTGGACACAGATATCAATTAAGCTATAAGTACATCTATGAATATTAAGGTTGTAAGACTTCTGTACTTTTTTTTTCAAAATTAGCGATTAAATGACAAAAGTGAAGCATATTTTATTTTGTAAAACAAATACAATAAAAAAAAAGAATTGAAGCGCATCATGACAAGTAAATTCCCCATAATACCTATACGATACAAAATTGCGACGGCAATCTGTTTAAATAATAATATCTTCTAACAATAGAACTGTAAACACACGACATTCAACCATAACGGATAAAACCACAGAAATAAATTTTTATATATCTTCATATATTTCATTTTATATATCCAAATACCACATAGCTTTCTGTATTTTATTATCTCTTCATATTTACCGTGTCCTTGAGGCGATTTTTTTAATTCTTAGGGAAGTGTAGGATTGCCCATCTGTAACACAAGAATCGATTTTGCTAATCGATTCGAATTGGAGCCTTTAAGATCTTTTCGGGAAAAAAATTATGACGTAAAGATCGATCTATCCTTCTAATTTCGTATGTAGAAAAACCTATATATATAAATTATTGGGGCATGAATTATTGCAATGAGGAAATTTTAAATCGATAACAATTATGTTATGATTATAACGTTGTTTTAAGTTAATGAGAAAAATAGTTTTTTTTTTATTTGATTGAGAAGGAAAGATTTTCGGTCTGTTCGTATTGAGACCATTTTGAGATCGATCTGAGTGACAAAAAATCGATAAAATCGAATCGAGATTGGAATCCCTAGGGCAATGCTTTATGCACTGTCCCCGCCGCTTGACAGGCGGCATGGGGGTGTGTGGGATTCTTCATCTGCACGAACCCGCCCGTGTCAAAACGCGGAATGCATACTCTAAACGCCCTCCGTGCATCCTCTCTTTTGGGGAAAGGGTCTATCCAGCAGGGAGTGCCCCAAACCCCGAGGGTACTCTCTGTTGGATCGAACTTATGAAATAACGAGTTAATAATGATATATTTCGAACTGAATAACTATTAAAGATCAGTTCATCATCATCATCACCAGCCCTTTTTACGTCCCCACTACAGGGGCTCAGGCCTTCCTTATGGATGGTTAAGGAGGATGGGCCATGATGGGCCTCCACGCTGGCCCAATGCGGATTGGAGGATTTTAACGACTGCAAATGCAGCCGGGACCAACGAGCTTAACGTGCCTGCCGAAGCACGGAGTAGCTCAAGATAATAATATTTGGTTACCCATCCCGTGACCGACCCTTGCGAAAGTTGCTTAACGACTACGATCGCGGGCTGCGGCGCTTATCCACTACGCCACCGAGCTACTCAGGTGATCAGTTAACTTTTACTGAAATATACCATTGAACAGGTTTAAGTAGTTCAGTAGGGTAGTAGATAAGCGCTGCGGTCCGCAATCATTGGTGTTAAACAAATTTTGCAAGAGTCGGTCACGGGATGGGTGACCAAAAAATTATTATATCGAAAGAGCTACTTCGTGCTCCGGAAGGCACGTTAAGCCTTTGGTCCCGACTGCTTTTGTAATCTTTAGTACCTTCCAATCCGCATTGGATCAGTGTTGAGGGTCATGGCCCATTCTCCTTAACCATCCGTAAGGAAGGCCTGAGCCGCTGCAGTGGGAATGTTAAATGGTTGATGTGATAAAAAAATCTTAGGTTTACAGTAAAATAAGATTCACCGTACTACTTCGAGTTCTCACAGTAAAAGCTAATAAATAATTTTAAATGTCTTCTTTGTGATTTAAGAAGTCGTAAGTTTGTAAAAAAAATGATAAAGAATTTCACTGTTATGCGATTTTCAAAAATAAAACAAGAGCTCATCTAAAGCGTTCTGAATTAGCCGGCATTAGCATTAATAACGATTGTGCACTGAAATAAAAATATCGTACGTGTCATTCAAAATTTACATAACGCCATCTATTAGATTCAATTGTTATTACCATTAACGATTGTTTATGAATCCAATAGTAGACTTATAATAAGTATTGAACTATCAACAAACTTAAATATTACTTTTGATCAAAGACATTTTAATCCAAATTAGCGGGAATAAAAATGAGACAAATAAATGTGTATTAATTAGAGTCGAAACGCGAGTACAAAAATAATCTTAGTAAAAAAATTAACTAAATATTATTACCTTTTTAAATTCACTCGCGCGAAATCGCTGGGATACCACAAGATTATGATTTTTTTACGATTTAATTAGCACGATACGCTATTCTTTTTCTATCTTATTTATAAATTGGTCACCCATCCTATGCCTGGTCATTGAAAAAATCTCTTAACCCCCGCATCGTAGATCGCGCTAACAGCGCTATCGAACTGTTTATACATCAAGGTGTAGCTGTACGCTTTCTTTTATCCTTTTAACAAGTAAGTAATAAGGCTGTATCTCGCGCACTGCCCGGTAGTTTGATAAAGGCATGCGCGCGCGCGGCCGTTTCAGTTATGGCGCGCGTTCGGGATTTGCTGCTAGTTCTTGCATTAACATGTGTGACCGGAGGTGCGTATGTGAATGTGAAAGTTGTTTTTTTCAAGTGACAAATGCATTTTTTTTGTGTTCGAAAAAAGCTTTTTATATTTATGTTGAATTTTTTTACCAACTCTAAAAAATGGTATTATTTTGAAAGCGGACAAGACTGGAAAGGCTATAAAACGCAATGAAACCGTTTAAGAGTTATTTAATTTAAGGCTATAAAAATTTTAATGAAAAAAAGAAATTAACTTCCCGTTTTTTATATAATTTATTTTATGGATATCGAATAAAAAAATTACAAATTTAAGTTTGTAATTTTTTTTGTATGATAACATAATTTTTTATTGACGCAATAATATTTTTCTTAACTTAGTAACAACTCATACAATTAAAACACTTGTTTCATGTGATACAATAATACTTTAATATTAAGGTCAGCTCCGACTAACGTTACCAATAATTCAAAAAGAAAATTCGCAATGAATCTTATTTTAATAAATTATGGATAACATTTTAGAAAAACAGTGATCGTTAGGTATATTCATACGTATAAAGTATACCTAAATATAATATGTAACATACAAATACATTGACATATAAGAAGATATTCTGAATGAAATATGCTTGAGAAATCCACTTTATCCCTGGCACTATGAGATGGGACTCGAATCTATGACCTTTCTAAAATATTTTTTAGAAGATGCGACAGTTTTCACTCTAAGGGAAAATGAATTTCAAGGAGTTAAGTTTTTGAAGTAATGATTAACCAAAATTGTAAGGTATTTACATTATTAATAATAATAATAATAAGCCGTTTATTCTGAACATTTGATTTTGGTTTACATAATTAGGTTGTTTATAATAAATCTCTGATTTCAGTGTGCCTCTTGGCATAGGCCTCTTCTAGCATCCTCCATTGGTTTCTATCTCTTGCAACTCTTCTCCAATTAGGTACTACGATTAATTTTAGCTCGTCTTCTCATCTTTTAGCTTGTCATCCTCTACTTATTCTACCGTCTCTAGGATACCACTCAGTTACAATCCTACTCCACCTTTCCTAGGTACTTCTTATTATATGGCCAGTCCATCTCCACTTTAATAGGTCAATTTTTGTCAGAATATTCATTACTCGAACGGAGGTTCGTCTAACGGGGTTTCTTATTTTATCTTGTTTCCTGATGCCTATTATACTTCTTTCCATAGCCCTTTGACAGTACACTGTACTAGCATTTCCTTGTGATGTTTTGTGAGTGACCAGGTTTCGCATCCATATGTGAGATAAGGAATTATGCATGTATTGAAAACTTTTCATTTAATTCCTATGCTGAGTTCGTTGGATTAGTAATTTACATTATAAGATATTTCTAAAAAGTATATATTAGAACAAACGCAAAATCAGACGCATTTCCTAATTAAAGATTTACTAATTTACCAATTTTTGATATGCTCATTCGTTAGAAATCTTGAATAATAATTACATGTTACCCAAATAGTGACGAAATTGATTTTTTTAGACACAATTATTTATGTAGCCGTATACATTGAGTTATGCAGCGAATAAGCATCCTCATGTTTATTAATTTCCTATAATTTCATGCACACGGTAATGTTATAGGCGCCTCTCCATTAATTTCGGAAATAGGACGAAACACTGGAGAGTCCCATATGATTTGTCGATATTGCTCACATTTATTTAATTTCGTTTATAGGTTTTTTTTTCAGAGATATAAAGCAACGAAAAACCTCACTATTTCCCAACTTGACTCTAACAAAATATACTTGTTTAACAAAAGTAGGTTTTAATTAATTTATCTCTTAACTTAAAACTCAGTTGAGTGCAATATTTAAAATTATCGTTTAATTTCGATAGAGTGGTAAAAAAATTATGTATTTACCTGTGTGGAAGCAATTAAGATCATCATAATATATTAGTAGTTTTTCATGTTCTTGTTAAAGTAACAAATTGTTTACATATTAATTACTGAAAAACCGTATAAAGAATTAAGTCACATATGTTATTTGTTTGAATTCAAATTATTGCTCTGGTGGGAGCCAAATCATGTTTTTTCAGTTTTGATTTTGTTTTATTTCACTTTAAATAATTTAATATATCGCAAATCGCGAAGACTTATTATGGGCAATTACGTCTTATAAATTAATAAATACCAAACCAACAGTCATTGTTAAAATGTCCTACTGGTTTATACAAGCCAAGTGTCTAATTTTCAATATTTTAAATTGTCTAAGGCAAACTTTAGACGCAAATATTACTTTAAGTAAAGGTATTGAGATAGATTACTAAATAAGTCAATAAGCCCACTGTAACAAATCGTACATATAAAACGTTCCCAAGATTTACTCAGTTTACTATCGAAAATAGAATCAGAGTGCGTTTGGAAGTTTATTATTTATTATAGACAAGGGATAAGGATTTTATTTTATTGTAAACTTCCCCAAGAAATTCCCTATGACATAGTGGAAACCGCATCGAAATCTGTTACGCAATTAAGGCCTCTGTCTACAAATACGCATCGAGAGTAAAGACGAGATCACTTGATTTTTAATCACAGATATATAAACAAAATATTTTATAAAAAAATTGTGTACTTATTATATGAAAACCTATTTTGTACATTTTTTTTGTAGTTAAGATGAAATATATTAATCGTAAAATCGAAACAAAAACCTATTTAGAGCCATATTTGCATTTTTTTTCTATCGAGTCAATTATCTAATTTTTTTTTTTCTAAACAGAAAAAAAAATCGATCATATGTTTAATTTTCATAAAATGATTTTTATTTGGCAATTTAGCGTTAGAATAACTTTTAAAAAGCGGTAATTTCTTACAATCTCTCCTTTATAAGTTACATAAAAAACATAATATACCTCATATAGTAGTTTATCATATTACCTAGATTTTAATATTCAAAAAGAATTGCTATATATTACTACTATGTTATGTAGTCATCTGACTGTTATATATACAGCAATTTTAACCAGTTGAGCTACAGATATATAATAGCAATGTATACAATGGAATAACAATCTGTATGAATTGCTTCAAATCTCTACATGCAAATAATGTTTGTATGATCGTTGCAACGTATGAATGATTCAATCACAATGGACGGTCGACCAGATATAACTGATTGTATTTTGTACTTAGACTCAGTGTATCAACATTCATCATCAGCCCTTTTACGACCCCTCTGTAGGGGCTTTGGCCTTTCTTATGGATGGTTAAGGAGGATGGGCTATGACCCTCCATGCTGGCTCAATGTGCATTGGAAGGTATTAACGAGTGCAGCCGGGACTAACGGCTTAACGTGCCTTTCGAAGAACGGAGTAGCTCTAGATAATATATTTTTTTGGTCACCCATCCCGTGACCGACTGCGCTAATCCACAAGCAAGAACACACACGGTGTATATTATACGTAGCGAGCTGAATTTTTAAATCAGTCTAATAGTTTCGGAGCCTATTCGAAGGAAACATTTTTTTTAATCTTTATGAAATTTTGTCTACGTAAAATTATAATCTTGCTTATTACTGCAAGGGGACAGAGTTAAAATATAATTTAAGTGCACATTCTGTAGTCACCCAATGCCGAATAGTACGTAGACCTTCTCCGTACTCATTCATCCTGAGCGGCCGGGTGCTTGTTGCACCCCGGGGTCTAATTTTTAAATCTATCCCAATCCCATTTACGGTAGTGATTGTGATTTATGGATTTATCTATGGAAAAGTCACTTTTGGAACTAATGGTGATTTGAATGATAAAAAAACATAATAAAAAGTCAAAAGATTGCAGATAGTATTTCGTTTTACCTATTTTCTCAATATCTTTTAAAGCTACTTACATCTAATGCTTGCTTTAGAAAATTATAGCTAACGTTAAATTAATGATATCGTATTATCAATATATCGAAATCTTTTAAAAAGTTTTTTTTTTAAATGACGCAAGCATCGTCGTGTCACTCAATGGCTCAATAGTGACAGGTGGCTATTATCGCCCCGTTAAAAGCAACGTTCATTCTTTTATTCTTATTAAGCATTGTACAAGATAAAGCACATTTATTATTACGTACTTCTGTTTCCGAATCGAAATGGAAAAATTATAGAATGTGGCGATATTGCTTTAATACGTAGAACGTGATTTTGTAAAGAATAAGCCATAACGTGACTATTGTATTAAAACTGTGATATAATATTGTAATGTTTTAGTTTATATTTGATAAATGTTGCATGTTTACTGATATTTATCAAAGCCCCATCTTGGGCGCTTGGGACTGGTGAATTTTTAGGGATCCATACCCAAAAAGTAAAAACAGAAACCCCATTACTAAGATTCCACTGTTTGTCACTCCGTCCGTTTGTCGCCTGGTTATATCTCATCAACCGTGATAGTTTTCACAGATGATGTACTTGTCTTCTGAATAAAAGAAATATTTAAAGGGGCTTCCATTCATAAAACGTGAGTTTCTCAAAGTGTCTCTAAGGTCCCAAGTTCGATTCCAGGTTAGTGTAGAAAATTAACTTTTCTATATTATGTCGGGTTTGGATTTCAATAATATAAGTGCTTTAGCTACTGAATGTAAAAACAAAGTTGCTCGATATGATAAATTTATTCGTATAGGAAAATAAAACTGATTTTTTTTACATAAGCATTTTCTTGGTATTCTTTAAATATTTTCATTTTATATGTATAAGTAATAGCTTATAACTATGAACGGTAATATAAATCTTATTGTCTTTATTAAAATCGACTAAAATATGCGTAACAAAGTGAAATACATATTCAATATACCTTTAACTCTTATGCAGTAAGATTGAACATAATTTAAAAAAATACTTAATGGTACTAATTTGGAAAAGCCGCAAAAAAATCTGGTAAGATTTACCGGCTAATTAGGGTTTGCGTCGAATCGCGTACCTTATAAGGTTGAATGCGCTGCAGGTAATTGTGGTGTAATATTCTTTTTTTTTTTAAGTACATTATGACTTTAATTGTGACGCAGTTTTGTAAT